TTTTAAAAGTACTTTTTTTTTTAAGAAAATATGTTAATATAAACCATAGTTTTATCTTTTTTTATAAAGTACACATGTGTGCATTAAATTGTTCATAAAAAGTAATGTTTGAATGCAAAATAAAGAGTATGTAACCATCAATCGACATAATTACTTAATATCGCCTGGTTAATTATATAGTATCACCTGATATAGCTGGATTAGCTTCTCCAATAAGAAAAAAAACTTTTTTTCTTGACCTAAGCTCTATTTCTTCATCTCTTTTTTTAATTTCTTAAATGTTCATTATAAAACCTAAAACACCATAAGTGATAAAATATTGTTAGTTAATTAATAGTACTTTCAAAAATAAATACTGAAAAAAAATTAGTAAGAAAAACAACTAGTTCAAACATACCTGTAAATTCAAGAAAACTGCAAATTCATAAGTTTTTCTCAATATCTGCAATAAATCATCGATAGGGTAATAAGTATTTTATTTTATCTATTATAATCTAAACAAGTAAAATTTTCATGGTCCCACAAATATAATAGAGAAAATAAAATAAATGATAAAAAACAAAATTAAAGTGTAAAACAAAGCGTTTATTCATTCTTAAAAATCGCGGCAAAATAATTCTTTTTTTTGCGCTTTTTTAATACTTTTTAACACAATAAAACAGAAAAAATAGTCATAATCTGCCTTAACTACCCTTTTTATTTGAAAATATAGATTAATACCTGTATTATGAAAAAAAAATTAGTTAAAATTATTTATATTATCACCTCCCCCTAGCCCTTCAAACATTTTTTTCAAACGTTTTTGGCGTTTTTTTGACCTTTTTTTTTAATAAATGGGCTTTGGGGAGGCTCAAGAGTGGTCCAATCAGGCTAATTTTTTTCCATAGTTATTTTTATCACCAATGTCTCACATTTGAAGGGGTCGTTTATTAAAATTCAAAAACTTCCTCAAAAGCAAGTATCCTATTGTGGAATGTGTTAAAGAAAACAAGCAACTAAAAAGTATAATTACAGAAATGGAAAAATCAAAAGAAGTCAATTCTGATACAAGTGGAACCAAGTGGTCGAAAGTTGTATCAGGTGCTGCCAAATAAAAACAAATGACCAATTATCTCTTCTTTTTGAAACCACAAAGGAACGTAAAGACCAAGAACGTAGAGAAACAAACTTCATCATCTATGGATTAGAAGCTACGCAACGTCCTTCACAGACGAAAAAACTAGAAAATGACAAATCGCAAGTAAATAATTTACTTAGTGCTATCAAATGCGATGGAGCAAAAGTAAAATCTATTCGCGGTCTTAAATCTAAAGGAACCATCGATCCTTGCTTATCGAGCTTAAAGACGTTAATAACAAAAATATGGTTTTTATAGCATCAATTAAATTAAGAAAAATCAAAAATTATGAAAATGTGTATATAAATCGCGATCTAACAGCAAGTCAAAGATTCATTCTAAAAAATAAATTAATAGAACGAAACGAAAAAAATGCGTTAAAAAGTGAACAAGAAAAAATTAAATTTCGTTACGGTATGACAATCTTACTCGAATTTTTCACAAATAGCCACTAGCAAATACTAATTTAGTAACGTCATCAAAAGTATCTCCCCCAAAAAAGACAAACATTGACTATACTCGAATAAAATCTCAACTTATTCAAGTTCAACTTCTGAACAAAAACAAACGGAACACTTCTCACTTTGAATTTGATAAAGCCACTATTTTCCTTAAGAGATGTGAATTATATTTTTCTAATCAATTCTCAGTGTTTCATTTAAATATTCGTAGTATTACTAAAAACTTCGACAAACTAAAAATCCTACTAAATAATCTTAACTTTAACTTTAGCTTAATTTGTTTAACGGAAAGCTGGATTTTAGATACAACATTTAATCAAAATTCTAATCTTATTTTGCCCAACTACAAAGCCATTAGTTTTGAACGTAAGTCTTCAAAAACAGGCGGTGGTATATGTCCCTATGTGCTTGATGAATTAACTTATAAAATTAGGTATGACTTGTCGTTCTCTGAGCCGGATTTTGAATCTTTCACCTTAGATTTACAATAAGTCATCTAAAAATATTATTGTGACAACTACATACCGACCACCAAACGGATGTTTAAATAACTTTAAAAATCACTTAAGTGATTATTTTGAAATTGAATGCAATAAAAAATAAAGACCGCTCATTTTTATTTGTTTGAGATTATAACGTCAACTATTTGAAATATGGTGAAAATATTAAAGTACAACAATTTTACGATAACTTTAATGAGTTTGGAATGATGCCTATAATAAACAAATCAACAAGAATAACACAAAACTCTTGTTCTGCAATCGACAATAATTTCAAAAATACACTCTTTCATTCCACATTTAAATCAGTAATCATCAGAAGTGACATAACCGACCATTTCCCAGTCTTTGCAATTTTCAAAAAACCAAAAGATATACTAAAAAAGGACTGGTACTTCAAAATAAGAATCTTTACAACCCGAACAAAAAGTATGTTTAAACTAGAGCTATTGACTGTAAATTGAAACTTTGTTTTTCTCGAGACATGTGCTCGAGACAGCTACAACCTTTTCTTAGATAAATTTTTCAATTTGTACGATAACCATTTTCCTAATAAAACAATCCGTATTAAAACTATCGGACTTCTTAATCCTTGGTTCACTAAAAACCTTTTAAAGTCTTTAAAGCAGAAACAAAAGCTATATATACGCTTTATTAAATCAAAAAAAGAATGTGATAAGCATAATTACTTAGAGCACAAACGTCTATATGAAAGAACTAAAAAAATAGCCAGAACTACATACTTAAAAACAAGCTGTTAGAACTAAAAGGTAACTGCAAAAAAACGTGGGATGCTATTAAAAAGATTCTTGGAAAACAAAAAATACACAACAAAGTCTTACCAAGTGTGATTACTGTAGACGGCACACAGATCTCTGATGTAAAATCGGTGGCAACAAAGTGAGTTTTTTGTAAACATTGGTCCACACTTTGCCAGTTTGGACCAATATTTACTAAAAACCATGTGCTCCTGCACATTTCTTGAGCTATCTATCGAAGTCAGATAAAAGCTTAGTATTTAAAAAACTCACTAGTAAAGAACTTGATGATTCAATAAAAAAATAAAATAAAGCAACAGGTTATGATTCTATTTCAGCAAGCATAATCAAAGACTGCTATGAACTTATTAAAGATGTTTTATCGCTTAAAAGAGGGGTTTTTCCAGGTAAAATGAAAGTTGCTATTATTACACCCATTTTTTAATCAGGAGATGAAAGTCTGGTTACAAATTATCGACCTATATCGGTATTACCTTTTATTTCAAAAATCCTCGAACGTACCATATTGCATGTATAATAGGGTATTTGCATTTTTGTATGGTAACAATCTTCTTTATTGTAATCAATATGGCTTTCAATCAAATTACTCTATGGAACATGCCCTTATGCAAGTTGTTGAAGTTATCAGTGGAGCATCTTCTCATAACAAATTCACCTTAGGTATATTCCTAGACTTGTCAAAAGCATTTGGCACCGTTAACCATCAGATTTTATTAGAAAAACTAAAATATTATGGAATAAGCCACAAATAACATAAATAGTTTACCAGTTACTTAACTAATTGATAGCAGTTTATTTCTCTAAATGATGGCTTTCAGAAAAACAAACTTAAAATATCATGTGGGGTTCCACAAGGCTCCATCTTAGGTCCGCTGCTGTTCTTAATCTATGTCAACGATCTATATAAAGCATCAAATACTATGTCTACTATTATGTTTGCAGACGACACCACTTTATTCTATTCTCACAGTAATATTATCTCTCCATTTCAAGTAGCAAATAATGAACTAGAACAAATATCAAACTGGCTTATCGCTAACAGCCTATATCTAAACACTCATAAAACTAAGTTTTCCTTATTCTATTCTAAAAGAAAGTTTCAATCTATTCTAAAATCCTTACCAATGCTATATATAAATAATATCAAAGTTGAGCACTCATTCACAAATAAATTACTTGGTATTTTAATAGACGAAAACTTATCCTGGAGAGATCATATTAAACATATTAGCAATAAAGTCTCAAAAAGTATTGGCATCTTATATAAAACCAGACAAATCTTAGACAAATCTACACTAACTCAACGTTATTTTGCATTCATAAATAGTTATTTATCTTATGGCAATATTGTTTGGGGTAGTACAAATAAATCTAAACTCGACTGTCTGAACCTTTTTACAAGCCTGAGTGGTAAACTTAAAGAAGCCAAAACCTCTCAAAAATTTAAAAAGAACATAATCGAACTTATTGCTAATCACGAATCTTTACATGATTTTTTCTAACAATACACTTTTATTTCCAATTTTTATTATCAAAGGTTACTGATGATAAGATTTTATCTTTTTCAGGTTCTCCGGTCAAGTAACTATTATAAATAATGAAATATACTTGTACATAATATTTTTAAATATTCTATCGGAAATTACCTTTAATTGTAATTAATTGCTTGAAAAAATAAATAAAAATAAAAATAAAATAAATAAAATTAGTTTTTAATGCAGGGCGGTACGAAAGCACCAAGCTGCTACTCAAAGAAATAAACGCCTTCAACGTCTACAAGTTAAATACTTACTATAATTTGTCATTTACCTTTTAACTTTAAAATAAAGAGATTTCCAATTGCTTTCATAAAAAATTTTTCTTAGGAAAATATCAGTCAGATGAGTTATTTTTAACAATTACGTTTCACTAACATCACTTAAAAAAGTTGACTTTTCAAATATGCGTTAGGGGTTCACTTACATGTTGAGGACCACGTTTGTGCTACTTGACGCTCAAAAAAAAAGAAAATAAATAAATTAAAAAAAAATCAAAATAAAATATATATGATTGGTTGATATATTTAAAAGAAGTGTAAAAATATTTACTAAATTCAAACAATATACAGTTTTTTTTTAAGTTTGTATTATTGTATTTTAATTTTCTTTGTTGTTTGTTTGATTAAAAGTTTCGTTTTTATCAACGTAAAAAATAATATAATATAAAAAACAGCAACAAAAACGTGTATGTTTGTAAATACTTGGATAATTTGTAGATACTGATATTTATTGAAAAAATAGCAACAAAAAAATTTGAAAATTCAAAATCAAATAAAAAAATTTAAGGCTTTTAACAACAAATTGAATTTTCTTCTTCAGGATTCATTTTGAACGAATTTTAAAAATGTCAATTTATTTAATTAATTTGAGCTGTCAGTTTCATTTAAACTGTCGTTTTTTCCTGCTTCCATTCGAATTCCAAGTTTTATGTGAGTTACTATGTACTTAAACAGTGAATCCCAAGCTCCTTCTGTTATCATATTTGTGTTTGGACATATCTGGCTGATAGCAAACACAAAACTTGAACCGAGTGCCTAAAATTCAACAAATGTATATTAAATTTATAACACCATGTAATGTCTAATACAATGTAAAACAAATAAAAATGATATTTTTAAAGTCAATATAGCTAACTTAAAATTAGTGTCTAAGTAATAATTTGTCAAGTTACAATTTATTGTTATTATTATTATCATTATTTTTTTGTATATTTATTTGTTTACTAATGTTACATATTTAATTTTATTAAATAAAAATGAAAATAAAAAAAATATGTAAAATTTAATAACTGTAAATTTTATTTTTTTGAAACGCCATAAAAATAAAACAAGTTTAGTTGATGACTAAAAGTTTTAATTTTAGTATTAGTTTTTAGTTTAGTTGCCTCTTAAAAATTATATTTTCAAAATAGCAAAAATATAATACTGCCAACTAGTTTAATAAAATTGCAATTTCTTACTTACAACTTATAAAAAAACGTTTCGGGGAATCATTTCACTCAAGACTGACGTCATACACCCATGCAAGTGACTAATTCATGAATGATAACCCCCGGTGGGAAATGAGCTAGGACTAGCGAGCGACTAGTTAGCTTTATAACAATTTTCATGCGATTTTTTTTACTTATTATATTTTTTCCTGTCTTTAACATCTTTAAGCATTCCATTTTTTGTGTTGAGTCTAATTATATTATAAAAATAATTGAAATTTAAACATTGCGATTTTGTAACAATGTGTCGCTAGCTACATATCTAGCTTTATAGCTAGCAACAGAATATTTACAACCTGTAGCTGGTTGGTAGCAACAAATCAAGTATTTTTAGACAGCAATTTTATTACGATATGACGATATGACGATATGACGCACGATATGACGCTAGCTACAATAGCATGTATGTCTTTAGCTTATTAAACTAGCTGTCCTCGAAACCAATTCGTTGTCTTTAAATTTACAAATATTGATAGCATTTCGCTAACTTATAAAAGTGATCCTCGTGGCCAAATTGCTATCTCTATTGTTACAATTATAGCTAGCTATTCGCTAGCCAATTTCCAACCAGGCCAGAGTCTGTATAGAAAGATATCATGAATAGCTTATCTCAAGGATTTAAAAGTTGCTTTAACTAGTAACTTTTTCTTTTATTTTTTTGAAACCTTGCATCAAAAAAAAAATTATTACTCTGCTTGGAAATCGAGTTTTAAAAAAGAGGAACACGAACCACAAGTTTAGATCTTTGTCCAAGAATATAATGCTATGCATAGCATATACAGCTCTAGAAATAGAATATTAAAAAAGCAACAAAAAATCTAGACCTTAAAAAAGTATTTAAAAAAATCTAGACCTTAAAAACTGTTTGAAAAACGTTGAAACTTTTAATCAGTTATTTCAAAAAGAATAAGTTCCAGTAGATAATAAACACATCTTTTTTGAAAAAAAAAAAGAGAGACAACATTTTTTTGTGGAATGAAAAGAAAAGATTGATCAATTGTATAATAGCTACACACTTGCAGCATTTTTCAGCTACAAAATTCAATTTATGCTAACTTAAACGCTTTAGAGACTTTAAAACAACTATAAATTTCGCGAAACTGTTAGAATTTACTAAATCAGGGAAGGATCTAGGGTGCGTTTACTCGGTGTAGTTAAGGCACTTTGAAAATATTATAGCGTTTGTATAGTATTTTGTTGACTACGACATATTTCCATTAAATAGTCTCTTCTTTGAATTATGAAAAGACAAAAAATATTAAAATGATAAATTTTGCGGTATCAAAGATTATTATTATTATTATTTTAAATCATCTTAAAATCACAATCGCTCGTCCAAATTTAAATAGATTTTATATTAATACGTTTTTTAGGTGAAATGAAAATTATAGTTTAATAATATGTTCTGATCGTTTATTGGCAATTTTTTATATATATAAGCTCTTTCTTTGTCGGAATTCTAGTATTTTTTGTAAAAATTGATAGAAATATTGTGTTTTGGCAACTATATAAAGTTAATATACGTCAGAACCGATTAGAACTAGGATTAATAGTAAATTAAGGAACTTTTTCAAAAGATTTTAAGTAAATTCATATTAATGACAATGAGCAGAATTGATCTCCAAAATAGTGTTCTTTAGATTCACTATTACGGGTAGTAAAAAAGTTTTGAAAATTATATAAAAAAAAGAAAAGTTTCTTTAAATATTATAGAAACCTTAAGCAAAAAAAAATATATATAACATTTAAAGATCTTGTTTGGACATAATATGCTGACAAAACCATGTTACTTCCAAATAAAAGTATTCGAATACTTTGTAAATCGCCATAACTACTCCGAGTAGCACGTCTGAAGACGTACCCAAAAAAAAAAAAAGTTATATCCAAAAAAAAAAGGTTAATATAATATTTTAATATTGCGTATAAAAATAATTTTTTACTTAACCATCAACTAAATTACATTCATATATATATATATATATATATATATATATATATATATATATATATATATATATATATATATATATATATATATATATATATATATATATATATATATATATATATATATATATACATATATATATATAAAGGGGAAAGCGGGGCAACATGGCGAACGTTTTGAGAGCCCTGAGTCATTGCCAAACTATCAGCCGTGAAGCAATAATACTCTCTCAGTATGTTCATGTTGTTAAAATCCTTCATTGACTGCATGAATTTTCAGTTTGCAAATATAACAATTTGAAATAAATATTAAAATAAAAAGTTCATAAATTTGTCATTTTGTCACGTGACCGGGCAAGATGACTTATTATGCAATTTTTACCTCCAATTTTATAAAATTTTAAAAACTACCAATAACTCTAACTAAAGCAACACAAAATAAACAAAAATCGCAAAAAACTACTTCTAAAGAAGTTAAACTTGAAGGACACCATCCATTATGTGAAACCGAAAGTGAGGAATTTTTTTTAAAGCGCAAAAAGTAAACTTATGCGTATAAATTTGCGTTGATGATATTTCAAAAAACCACTTGGTGTTTTAAAATACAAAATGCAAAGTTTCGTTTTCAACCAGTTTTAAGATTTTTTGTTAAGTTGTTATATGAAAACCCATCTTGCTCCATTCGCCATGTTGCCCCGCTTTCCCCTATATATATATATATATATATATATATATATATATATATATATATATATATATATATATATATATATATATATATATATATATATATATATATATATATATATATATATATATATATATATATATATATATATATATATATATATATATATATATATATATATATATATATATATATATATATATATATATATATATATATATATATAATATATTAGAGTGCAGTGAAAAAATTAAAAGTGGAATATTTTTATGTAATAGCAAGAAAAAGTTGTCTTTTGGTAAGTGTTCCAACATTGAAAAAAAAAATTTCAAAAATTTCAATGTCTTCAGCTGCCTCATAGGGTACAAAGTTACTAAGAAGAGGTATTTTTCATGAAAATTGACTGTTTTAGTCAATTTTTATTTATTTATTAAAGATTATACTTTTTTGTCAAATTCTTTCAAAAAAAACTGTAATAATTAAAAAAAATGACATATGTCATTGACATATGTCATGAACATATTTCAATGACCTTATAAGGTCATCGAAATATATTTCACGGCGTGACACTTTCGTGGGGGAAAGAGGATCGGATTAGGATCAATACGCTAAAAAAATTTAAAATGTCAATAAGTACTACTTAAAACACCGACTTTGTAAAAATAAAAAAGGTCTTTTTAAAAATAACTAGGGAGACATGGTCCTCTGCGTTTCCCCTTCCCTCTCTCCGTCACTGTGGCAGATTAACAAGTTAGCAAGTCAGCAAGTCTATATCAAGTTAAAGGGTGAAACAAAAATATCTATTTATTAATTATTTTAACATACACAATCAAGTTTTAGAAAATCTGTCATTACACTCTACCAATTTATTGGTTCGGAAGCACGATATTCTGACTTTGTGTTAAACACTGGCATTATGTAACGTGCATGTAAACGTGATCGAATAAAACTCAAGATTTTTCTCCACATACAGCCAGCGAAGCCTCAGTTACGAGCTTGACACACCGCTCCACTGGTTGAATATGACATGGAAGTCTTTCAAACTCAAATATTGATTGTCCGCCACTTTCCAAAAACAATTGAATATCTTCCTCGGACACATCAGCTGTCAACGGTGGCTCGGTTATTTTATTTTCTTTCCAGTTAATGAGTTCTATGTAATCATGTGTATCTAAGTTAAGCTTTGGTAAACTGAAAGTACGCAGTGTCTCATCTTTTTTCTGTCGCGATTTAAGAATGTGCCTTAATCCTAAATCACGAATTTGCTGGCGTTTGTCACTAACCATTACTAGTAAGTGATTTTCTGGATGAGCAAAATAGCCGTTACGTTGTAATACAGGATCTACTTTATCTCGCAGTTCCTGCGATAAGTAACGTGACTGTTGAATAAGTTTAAAAAGATGCCGCGCGCCATTTTTGCATGAAGGATGCATCTTAATACTTAACCAAACAGGAGAATAAACTCTTACGACATAAGTTACCTAATGGATCAGATTTGTTGATGGATCCTCGCTCGCCACATACAACCGTAGAAATCTATTCGCTGTTGTCAGCCATCGAGAGTGGTTTAGTACCCCTGGAATTTTTTTTGATAGGGCTAGTGAACACTCACCTTTGGATGTTGCTTCGCACATTTTCCACATATATTTTTGATCTGTGCTCAAATCTTTAAGTTCAACTTTTGGAAGAGTTTCATCAATCTTTTTAAATTCAACAACTGGTAATTTCTCACAATTAATAAGTGCTTTACCAATTGGGCCAAAAATGCTTTTGGTCCTGTAGTTGATATATCCAAATAAATTAGCAGATGTCGAAGAGGAAGTTCGTTTGCATGCAAAAGGCAAACCAACGATTGCAACAGTTTGTTGTATTCTTTTTCCATCAACCTTATTGCGCCACCGTTTTTTTTTTTTTTTTTTTTTTTGTTATTAAGGTGCCCCAAGAAGTCCTTATGGTCTTATCACAGAGCACCGCGAAAGAGCATTTTAATGGGAAGTTCACGCCTCCTTCCCAACCGATGTCGCAGAGCTTGCCAGAGGTAGGGTTTGAACCACGGATCTTACGTTTCTGAGGTAAGTGCGCTACCACTGCGCCACGGCTGCATCGGAAATATTACCTTTAATTCCTGTGTTTACGGCAGTTGCGTCACATCCAACAGCTGCAAACTTTTTAACGTCAATATTTTTGACAGTTATAAAGTTGACTATAGAACTTTTGATCAAATAGGCAGACGATCCAGATGGTGATAAATGCCCAAGGTATTCAGACCCTGGTTCTTCGATTAAAGAGATGTGCTCTTGAGTAATGCTTCGTTGATAGAACTTTAACCCTTCCTTGATGTTTTCAAGAGTTTTGTCTTTTAGTCCATCAAAATAAATTCCACGAACTATTTTTGAATTTTTAGAAGTTTTTAGTTGATTAAGTTTTCTCTTACACTCCCGTCGTATTTTACTCGGATCAACAACATAAGAGGTGTCTTGTTGATTAACAACACCAAAGTCTTCAAAAACTGCACTTGCTATTGTAGCTCCGGCTCTATCTGAGACCCCATACCGGTCGCAGACGTTTGCTAATGCAGGAAGTGGTTGCCGACATTGAAAATACGAAGAACTAATAATGTCAATGGAAGAAACATCGGAAATATTACCATCATTAATGCTATTATCATCTTCATCACTTTGAGCTATAGATCGACTGTTAAAATTACCAACTGTAGACACAGACAAGGCATTGCGATGCTTATTTCTACGGCGCTGCTCAATACTTTTTCTTTTGAACTTCATGGCCAGTTTATTTGATGCAAGTTTATCAACATTTCCAATGCATATCAATTTGAGAGTTCTCTGATCTTGGATAAAGTCTTGCTCTGGAGAAGGAACCTTGCGAGTTTTGTTACATACACACTTCTCAAACACACATTTACAGGTGCAGATATCAAACAATTTATGTCTAGCATCTTCTTTAAAAGCGTTCACTTTGCTATCATAATTACTGCGCTTGATGTTTCGCAATAGTTTTCTGTATTTATCATGATAGGAGCGAATCATCTTTAATACCCGTGTATGAGTAATCATCGGTAGTGACGCTTTTAACCATATTTTTTCAACAACTTGTGCAACTTTTTCAGAGATTTTTGTTATAGTAGGTTCTTTTGTAGCAGCTGTTGGTTTCAGATGATGTTTTACAAGCAAGTAATGTTTCATTACATCTTCAAATGTTGGTAAAACAACTTGATATATCTCTTTAGGTGTACCAAAGACAGGACAAGTCAGCATCATCCTCGTATTAGATTCATAAGTATTTATTGATTTAAACATTAATCTAGCTAGCCATAAACAAAATTAAAAGCTGAACTAAAATATCAAACATCAGTAGCAATTTCTTGATATGCAAAGAAATATATTGAGAAGTATTAAAAGAAATAAAATGAACCGCTTAGATAATTATTTCTAAATAATAACTAAAAAAAGGTTAATAAAACAAATTTTACGTCAATATAACATAAAGCTAACAAGTATGAGACAAAACAAAATGTATTGTTTATTGTATTTTTGTTGGAAATGATTTTGTTATACAATTCAATGAAAATTTTCCAATTCAATTGATCATGTCTTTTCTTATATTTCATTGCGCAAATTAAATGCTTGTTCAAACTGTTGTTCTCCATCGTAGCAAAATATATACAAACTTAATCATATAAAAACAACAGACTTGCTCAGAACTGAAAATTTCATTAAAGATGGTGACTTTGCAACTTCGCGGTAAATTTAAAACCTGGACAAGCTTAAAACGTTTAATTTTGAACATTTATTGAACAGTTATAAAAGTGAAATAACCAAGATAACCAATACAGGTTAGGTGAAACCAATGGCGAATTAAGACTTTTCAGGGCCCTTTTTTATGTGTCACAGCGTAAAGATTAATTAAAAAAAACTTTTTTTTTTTTTATCAAAGTTTATTTTAGGTGCCCTAAGAAGTCGTTACGGTCTTATGACAGAGCACCGCGGAAAAGCATTTAATAGGAAGTTTACGCCTTCTTCCCAAATGATGTCATAAAACTTGCCTAGAGGTGGGGTTTGAACCACGGATCTTACATTTCTGAGGCAAGTGCGCTACTACTGCGCCACGGCTGCTTAACTTCTTTTGACTCTTTTAGGGGGTCTTGGGCTATAGCCCCTAGCCCCCCCCTCTCCCAAACTAGCCCCTTTAATACAGCACTGGGTAAAACAATACTATTAGTAATTGGGCTAAGGGTATTAATAAAGAAAAAAATACAGTTTTTTATTTTAAAATATATATATATATATATATATATATATATATATATATATATATATATATATATATATATATATATATATATATATATATATATATATATATATATATATATATATATATATATGTAAAAAAGTGTTTTGGAGAAGTTATTAATGACAAATAATTTTAAAATTTCATTTTTAAATTATTTGATGAAGCTTCTGACAGGTAAAGTTAAGAACAACTATAATTAATTATATAGTTTGTTGATTCAAAGTTCAATTAGGGAATTTATCAGTTTTTAAGATTGCCCAAATGGTATATAGATTATTTTATTTTTTGGTAAAAAGTTTTTCAGATTCTTCTTAATATCTCATGAATTGCAGAGTTCATTAATATGATGGTGCTAGAGCATTTGATGGTCCACTAAAGGTTTGTCATCTTGTATTTTAAATCTAAATGAAAAAGCTGTATATGCTCATTGCAACAGTCATAGACTTAATTTAGCCTTTTTTTGCCTCATACAAAGTGATAACCTTGCATATTTTTGAGTGAAAAAAGGCTTTTAATATTTCAAGTATCCTTTAATAGTAACGTTCCGTTGAGTGTTAAAAAAACAATTAAAACGTTTTTGCAGAACACATTGGGTGGAAAAGTTTACTTTTGTTTTGAATACTTTTCAAGAACTTTGTGCTAATTCTTACAAAAATTATTTAAGAAGTTCAATTTTCACGTGACACTAGAAAGGCCTTATCATATCTTTTAGTGACTTTTATGAAAAAAATCTACTGAATTCCCATGCTTTAACTTTGTGAGCTTCATTTATGCAGAACCTTTTGGTTAAATTTGAAAAGGTGATTTCAATTTTAATACTACTGAGTCGTTAAAAGTGATAAATTTTTCTGCTTTTAAAAACTTTAAAAATTTACTTGCTACTTTTCTATTAACTTTATGTGAATGTGAGAAGACATATTACTTATTTTGGCGCCTGAAAAATTATATTTTAAGTATCATGGTACAGGGCCAACAACAACAATTTGGTGTTATCATTCTTTATATATAAAATGCTATGTTGTATTTGCTATATTGGCAAATGCTTGTAATGTGGGTTCATTAGTCAATTTTTAGAATCACTCCTCATCCACTTTTAAAAGGGGAAGGGGTACTAGAGGTCATGTAAAAAAATCAGATGTACCTAAATAATTTTCTGGGTCCGCCCTTGTATATAAACTAAAAATTAAAAATAATAATAATATGAGTTCTATTGAACTTTATTTTAAAATTCTTTTATATTTGGTATAAATATTTGGTATAAATTATATTATTTTTATTAATAAAATATTAAAACTCAATATCAAAATTCAAAAGATAAACAATACGCAACAATAATGAAAAAATTGTGAAAAAAATAAATAAATTAATAATAAAAATAATAAGTATAATCAGCCATTTAAATACGTTAGGTTGTTTTGTACAGGGCAAAAAAAATTAATAAACAGCGGTGAACGTCATGCCAACCGTTTTAGGTACAAAGTTTTAAAAGATATTTACCGTAGCATACTTTTGCTCTGCACCTAGCCTGTAATGCAACTTGCCAAGTTCAATAAGATGGTTTGATAACTCTTGTCTCTCATCAACTTTTTTAATTATTGTTTCGATCAACTCCACTGACTTTCGAATGTGAATGCACAATGATTTCGAAGATAAAACGTCATTTATTGTGATGCTTGTTTCGTAAATTCCAAATTTTTTACAAATTTCAGGATAAGTTGAAAACCACCTAAATAATAAGACACACTAAAAATTATATAAATTTATAAATAAATTTTATAAATAAATAAATTTATAAATAAATCTTATCTTATAACTTATGTAAAACTTGTGACTCATATAAGATATCTTTTAATACAAATTCATCTTTCAATACAATTTTAAAAATATTTATAACACTGAAAAATTTAAATGCTAAATTTAAATTGAAATAGTAAAACACATCCAGCCACACTAATTTAAAAAATTATATAATTTTGTAGCTGATTGTGATTATTTACGACTCTTGTAAGTTTTATTTGCTTAACAAATGTAAACATTTTAAATACAGTGTTTGGTTTGTTACAGAAAGAATGCCAAGCAATATCTCAATATTAAAAGCACATCAACCCTGCTAATGATAATTGTTAAATTTAACATTTTTTTTCTTTACTTTGTCTGTTAAAATCAGTGCCGTGGCTAGTGGATCCGAGGCCCCCCAAAACTTCTCATCAGGGCCCCAAAAATATTAAAAATATTTCATTAGGTATTAAAAAATAAATAAATAATAAATATTCTTAAAATTTTTAAAAGGGCCCCTAAATTTGCAAATGGGGTCCCCTAAATTCGTTGTAACCCTCCACCCTCGATTGTGCGGTGGTATAACCTAGCCACAGCTCTGGTTGAAGCACACACAATGTGTACGCACACTAAGTCTGCGTATGCACAAAAATGATTCCTCTTAAGTTTACATATCTTTTAATTCTTGAAATTTTAAATAAGATTAACCGTTGAAAATACTTGCATGTTTTGTAAACTAATCATACAACGTTGCACAGTGGGTCAGGTGGTGGGCAAAAGTAAAAAAAAATACATTATTATATACCATTTTATAGCTTAAACATTCAACTTTTCTAAAATGTATATATTTTTGTATAATTATCATGACGTAATTATCATGACGTATGCTTCTAAGCTGTAGAATAAAAAGGTTGTTTTTTTTTTTAAAAAAAAAATTTCTATATATATTTTTTTTTATTTGATAAAATTTTTTATGTTACTAATAAGCATGGAATAGATGTTAACTTTAAAACTTCTCTTTTCATTGTATAATTTAATAAATTCAAGTATTATCTTTCAAATGAGCTATTACAACACTATTTTGCATGTAATTTATGTCAAATAAAATGGTTTCAAATGACGGGGTAATTGAAGTACTTTTTTTAGTTAAAATTTCACTAATATAGTCGAATACTTTTGCAGTCCGAAGCGGTCCAGTAATTTGAAACTTGAAATACATTGTTCAATATGTATATTATGAATATAAATTTGTTTTATAATCCACGGATGTCCGCCTGGTCTCGATTAATGATGTTTGCAAGTTAACCGGAGAAAAATAAAAGCTATCTGACGCAAGACGTTTTGAAAACGTATAAAATGTATTAATACGTATTTTATTTGTCTTTAACGCGTTTTTTACCCATAACTAGCGACTAGGTAGTTGCTAGCTTATCTCCCACTGGGTAAATGATGTATCCGATTTTATGTAGCGAAAATATTATATGATTTTATTCTAAATGGTTATGTAATAATTGGGTCTTAGCAAGACTAGATTAGTGTTACAAACTTGTTTTATTAATTATACATTTTAAAATACCTATTTGTAAAATTATGTAAATAAAATTTATATTTTTATATAGTTAAAACATGAAAAGTATTGATATTTATTCATATATAATACAAGAAAACCTGAAGTTAGCTAATCGTAATATTTTATATACACAAAATGGTTAAAACTCAGGGTTTCTTTTTATATGGATTATGTAGTAGTTTCATGAAATATAAAATAGAGCCTTGAAACTGCATAAAAATTCTTAAAATTAGTAATTGGGAATGTATTGATTTTTTAAATGCATAAAATAATTTTTAATCAGACTGCCACATTAACATTATTTTAGTTATAACATTGATGCTTTGAGAAAAGTTACTTAAGCTAGTAACTATGCAAAATAAAGCGTCAGGCATTTTAGGTGTCACTATCAACCAAATAAAAAATCCATAGTAGGTAAAAAATCCATAGTAGGAAAAATCCATAGTAGGTAAAAAATCCATAGTAGTAATCCTGCCACTACGTTTGTGGTATCAAAATACTCAATGTGGTAAATATGGGAGAAATCCAATACAGTTATTACTTTTTCTACTTTAAACTTGTTTAGGTAATAAAGTATGTGGTTGCTAAGCAATTTAAATATCCATAACAACCCAAAGTTAAAAATGTCACCAATAAAACCGCAATGGTGCTTAAATCTTTTTATATGACAAGTTATTAGTTTTGTCCAGTAAAAGTGATTTCTGGCCCACTGTGCATTGATGGTAAAGCGTAAAGTTTACGATATTATAAAAAGATTAAAGTAAAAAGTGAAAGAAGTTTTTTACAACTATTTGTTTCGAAATTTTTTTAAATAAAAAAAAAATTATATTAGTTAATAGATTTTTTTTTTAAATTTGGGGAAAATTCAGGAAAAAATTAAAAAAAAAATTTTTTTTTTCCTGAATTGCTTATGATAAAAATCAAACTTCTGGATTATAGCTTTATATTTATATATATTATAGATTATATTTTCAATTTAATGATATATTAAATTAATTAAAACCAAGAAAACTCAAAAAATAATTATGCATTAAAGTTTTTCTTGTTTATATCAGCTCGCAAAGATTAATAGATTTAATCATGTTACTACAGAGGTAGCCAGTTTTTTTATTTGACACAAATTTTATGCAACAAGTGAACTTTTTATAAATAAAGAAATATTCTGAACTGTATTTTTACAGTAAGGAACTGTATAGAGAACCGACTCCAAATACTCTCCTAAAATCTTTTTTATTTATTGTAATAAAAAATACAATAGTTAAATTAATAAACATGCTATAATGTTCAATAAAGAAAACTATCGGTTTACAACACTTTGTTATCGGTAAACTAAATAATTCCGGAAAAAAAAACTCTGGTTTTCTAAAAAACTTTTGTTTTAAACATGCACTAAAATGAACATATGATGTTCGGTATAAAAACAACATTTTAAAATATTTAATGATACTCGGATTAATAACCTGTTTCCTATTTTAGTAGGAATATTAAAATAGGAAACATACGACGCATAGTAAGATTGTAGATTTTTATGTCTGTTTACATTATCTTGAAATTGAACTAAGTTTAACAAAATTAACAAACAAAACTTATGTAGACGTAGTTTGGAAGAAGTTAAAAATCCAAACTTTGAGTGTGCAAATTTTTGGGCGTTACCGTATAACTAATGCTATGAAATTGTGATATTGGGCTGGATAGTTTCACACGGAAATTTAAATAGCTTTAATTCTAACCTTCCGAACGCACAAGTACATATTTCATTCCAAACTTGTTTAGCTGATATCCAAGAAATTTTAAGAGTTTCTATCTCCTGCCATGAAAGCGGCATTTTTATATATTTTACTTCTGAATTATCAGAAATAGAAATGTGTTCCTTGATAGCTGAACAGTGAGTGTTTTTTGGGTATATCTTGTTTTGCTGTAAGCAACCATTACCCATTTTTCATAACTTAATAAGTTTTTGCTTTATCTACAATAAGGTTATAACAAATATATAAATTTTATATTATAAAATAATATATTTTATAATATAAAGTAATTAGCTACAAATGCATAAAAAGTAAATAAAATAAATAAAATTAAATAAAAAGTGTTTGAAATATAACAATTAAAAAAAAAAAAAGGATTAAATTTTTTTTATAAAAGTAAACATTTTTTATAAAATTAAAAAAATAATTTTAAAAAACACAAACCTTTATAAACATTTAAAACATTTATAGAAAAAAAATATAATTTATATAAATTGTGAAATATTTTTTTAAAATAAATTAAATTACCAAATATACAAATGACGTTTAAAAGTATGTTAAAAATTTGTTTTACAAAATTTTATTATTAATTGAAACTATTTTTAATAATTGTAACCGTAAAATTGTATTCTGGTTTTTATATCGCATTTATCAAACCAAGATATTATTTTTTTTGTTCCATGATGAGATGTTTCTAAACCATGATGTTTAGTATCAAATGTGTCATAAGAAAAACTGGTGAAGTGCAAATTTTTTTTTTTCATTTCACAACTTTAACCTTATATAAAATAAAAAAGTTTTAGTGCGTCAGAGGTTTTTAATAAAAAATTTAAAATGTTATTATATTAAAATTTTAATATATACTTTTTATTGTAAACACTGACTTTGTAATATATCAGCGCCATTTGTATAATAATACCTAACGATGAGTCGGCGCAGTTTTTTAGAAGGTTGAATAACAATTTGAAATAAGAAATATCTATACTTTTTTGAAACAACTTTACAAATATCGTTGCTTTGTGGAAATGATGTTAACAGACATTCGTAAACATAAAAAAGAGTTTTTGTTCAAGCAGTGCCTAATTTAATTGAAACGAGTTAAAACTTAATATTTTTTATGCAAAATAGTCATTTTAAAGGTGAATTTTTTTTCAAAGTGTGTACGTAAACGATAATGTTTAAATTTATCAGTTGTCATTTAACAACTAGAAATGTTGTCAATTCATTTTGTGACGTCACCTTTGTAACGTCATATATGTACCGTCATCTTTGTAGCGTCATGTTTGTAGCGTCATTGTTGCCAGCTTTTAATAATATTTAAATGCGGTAAATGCAAGAACATAAAACAAAACTCAAAGCAACTTCTGAGGTTTTAAAGACTTAATAATAATTAATAATTAAAATTTTTTGAAAACATGCAGCCTTGCACGGTGATGAATGAAACCACAAACAAAAAAATATTAAATAAAATAAAATTTAATCAAATCTACACAAAAAAATAAAGAAAAAAACTGTGTTAATTTTTATAAAAAATGTTAACCCTTGATAATAAAAAGTGTTCTAAATATGGGCTACCTCATAAATATTGTTAACCAAAAATGATAAAAATAAGATAATTAGATCAACTTTAGTTATTATGCTGCTTGTTTTGTTTAATTTTTTAACCTGAGCTTATTTTAAGTTTATTTTTTATCATGAGTTTATTTTAATTTAAAAACTATAAAAAAAGAGTTGTACTTAATATATAATTATATTTAACATAATCATAATATATACCAATCACATTGTAAGGGCTTCGTGATAAGATCATTACGATCTTCTTGAAGTCCGGCTCTTACTTATAAACTTTATTATTTTGACTCACGAGACTTGTAAATATAACACCTTTGTTTTACGAAACTTGTAAATGTTATATGTACGGCAAAATAAGAATAAAAAAATAATAATAATAACACGGCAGAATAAGATTAAAAATCTGATGCTCAGAAATCATCTGATTTTATCATCATCTGATGCTCAGAAAAATAAAAAAAGTAATTATTTGTTGCTAAAAGATTCTATTTACTGAGTTATTTGGTTTTTTTGATTGGTATTTGGTTTTTTTGATTATAACGTCATGTCTAGCTAATGAAACAAAAACAATTTCAACGATGGTCAGAAAAGTAGTCTATTATATGCCAACGTTCGGCCATCTTAAGGTCAATTTAAAAAATTTATTGGCTCAACATTAAAAAATACGTTTGTCCAAAATTGAGACAACCTATTTCAGTATTTTGGGTAATATGGATATGGCACAAACTTTTTTATTAGAAACCATTGCCGGCTGAGATAAATTTAATTAAATAATTTTATTCAATTAAATAAGTATAATTAAATAATTTTAAAACATTTAATGTTTATAAAAATATAAACATTTTAGCTTTTAAATAGCGGCTAAATCAAAATAATATATATATATTTTTTAAATAAAGTTAAACAGAAATTATGTAGTTTGTTTAAAGAATATTTTTGAATATAGCATTTTATTATTAAAGAAATTGTTATTAATATAACTAGATGTTGTTGTTATTATTGTCGGCTATTGATAAGTTACTTATCACTATGTTTTATTAAAAACTAATAATAACTTTTTTTAATATTCTTTATGTTAATTATCATAAATATCTCCGACTGAGAGAGGAGACTTTTTAAAGCGAGGCTGTGCTATTCGAAATCAAAAGAAAAACAGTGTAAAATATTTTGGAAGATTCAGAGTAATAACGTTTTCTGCAGAATAGAATTTTCTTCTCAAGAATTTTCCTCTTTTACTTTATAAAATTAAACCTTTAATCAGTATATTATTGTTTCTAGAATGATAATACATATATTAAATAAAACTCTTAAATAAAGTTGTTCTCATTCCAAAAAGCCTATAAATATTTTCGACATACTTGAGGTGATTTTAATATCTTGATGTTGTTTATATTATAATGCATTTTTATTACTAATTTTTTATTAGAAACTTCAAAAAATAATTTAAGAAAATTTAAGTTAGAATATAAATAAATTGATTTGAAGACATTAGTTGTTTAAGTGACAGTCATTTCCAAATTTCATCAACTATATGATCTTGATTATAAAGTTAATGTAATTGGACTATCCCTTAAACAAAACTGATATAAATGCATTTATTTAAGTATTATTGTTATTAGAATATATTAATTTTTAATGTAATGATAGGAAAATATACATCTTGTTATTAAATTACATCAAAAAATTCATCTCTAAGGTTTCATGCTATTTTGTTTGTTGTTGTTGTTTTTTCAATTTATTTTATTTTATTTATTTTTTCGCATTTCAGATGAAAAAAAATAATATTTGTTAAGACTCTTATTCTTTCTACAAAATCTATATGAAAGACTTTAATAAGTAACACATTCCGTCCCAGTTGATATTATATATTAGATACTGTCCTTTTTTCGGTTCGCAGCCGGCACAACTTAGAAAAAAGTTACTGTTGCATGTTTAAAACCTATAAACACGCAACAGATAACATGTGTCAAAAATGGTTTTTAGTCCGTGAAATTACTATTTTAACTAGTATTTGCCATAAATACTAGTTAAAATATTAATTGCTTCACCGTTACGAAAACGTAACGGTGAAGCAATTAATTATTTTATCATAACTTTCCGTAAGAAATGTGAAACCGCAGATAGTAGCATGCGCCATTTAAATTTGAGTTTAAAACCTCAAAAAACACATGTTAAACTTGACTGTAATATATACGTGTTTTTGATTTACGCCTGGATCGTGACAAATACGTGTCTATACAGATTTTCTTTCCGAAAAAGAAACTAAATGGGTTGTTTTATAATATTAGCTTTAGTATCTGTTAACGTTAATATTATATATTTTATTATAGTTTTTATTATAAGCATAAATGGATATCAAAAAGCTTTTTTTATTGTTATTTGAATTTGATTTAATTACCGCTACTTTTAAAAAACGTGGGTTTGTTTTGATTTTAACGAGCTCAGCCTCGTTTTAAGGACTGTTTAATGAAAAGCTCAATTCCTTTTATAAAATTTATTCTATCTGCCGTTCTTTTGTTTAAAAGCTTCTTGCGTCATAGCAACAACGCTACTACGCATAGTAACCTAATTTAATGGTTTAAAGGTAAAACAAAATTGATCATGCTGCAAATTCAATAGCGAACCATTTGAATGACGTCAGTAAAATTTGCAATAAACGTTTTGTTGTATTCGGATATTTGGATAAACAAGCTTCACAGCCAACCGTTATACAAGCTAATCGTTTTGGTAAACATCATCAAAATTAAAAAAGTAACGAAGTTAACTAAAAAAAGATAACTCTCTAAAGTTTTCTAATAATATTATCTGCTAATAAATGCGTATTTGGCAAGCGCAAAAAATCTCCAGCTTTGCACAGCTGTCTCAAACATGTTTGTAATTTTAATATTTTTCATGAGATACATTCTCTAGTGAACAAATCTTATTTTAATTTAGCAAAGTTATGATGCAAGAAGTGATTGACTTATACTAAAGCTAATTATTCTTAAAATAAATAAACTAATTTTAACTAAACCTTGCATTTTAACTCAGTAGTCCAGAGACTTTTAGAAAACTATAAGTGCATTAATATTTAAAAATATCTATTATTCTATTTTGCTTACCTTGGTCAGAAAACTTTCATTCATAAGGCTGAAAAATTTTCAAAAAATATTTTGCACTGATTCATATCTTTATTCTAACTAACATGCTCATTCTGGCTTCTCAGGTAAAATAGACCTAGCTTAGAGTTTCTCACAAATTCTTAATCACAATTTTGCAAAAAGGGTTTGCCAGAAATATTAAAAACAAATTAAATGGTTTTGATGGAACAAAGCAATACATGGAGTGAACACAGTTATCAAAGCATATGTAATGCTAAGATAATTTAACAGCTTATTTGTTGTTCAACTTACTATTTAATTAGCTTACGAAGAAAAGCTATTCAAAGAGAATAAGAAGAACAACCTTACTGTTTAATTAGCTTATTATCCATAATTAAGGAACTCATAGTTTTTAACTATATTTGTTTTAAGTTTTACCGCTTTTATATAATGATAAAATTTAGGATCAATTGGGAAAAATCAATTAGGAATACTCCCTCTTCCTTTTGGTAATGGTAATGTGTGAAAAACTTTTCTCGCAATTCTATTACCAAAGGAAGAGGGAGGAGTCTTTGTTGACTTTTCTTCCGATTGATCCTAATTTTTACTATGGTACAAAAACTGGTTTTAGATTTCTTTAAAAAACAAACATTAAAATCAAAAACTAAACCAAAAGTTTCTAAAATTAAAAAAAAAATATTTTAAATTTTTTAAAAGTTTCTAAAAGTTCTTAAAATAACAAGCAAATGTTAGGCCTCTGATTTTAAAAAACTATTTTGCAATTTTGATTAAATAAAGAACAAAAAACGCATTTTATACTGGACGTGCTTCCTTTTTTTTTTGTGGAGGGCTTTTTTTTTTAGGTAAAGAAATTTCAAGATAGAAAAATTCATTTTCTTAGAAACTGACAACCCTACCCTTTCAAAACCTGTATCGTCAGCCTATTATATCGACACGTATTATTTTAAAATAGTTTACTTTTATCA